AAGTACTTGCTGATGTTGGTTAATGTTTCAACTTTAGAGTCCGTTTCTATGTCTTGTGAACTCTTTCGAACAACTCATAAATTTCAATATGGGTATGCATCTATCCCACATGATACTAACACCGGCGAGGGCACCTTCAAGTACTGGTTCCTTTGTCGTTGTTCCGCCACCTAACGGCTGTCCTCCAGCAGTCTCAATAAACGGTTTTTCACCGGCGCGTGGATTTGTTGCATATCCTCCAAATCTGATGATTCCACACCCCCCTGGTTCCTCTTTACCTGTTTCTCAGCCGTTGTCTCAACCCCCGAGTGAGCCAGTTGATGACCTTCCTTCAACAACCAGTAATACACCAGATGATTGCGAAGGTGGTTGGAACTCTGGCAGTTATATTCCAGGCGCTGTGAGTTCTTTGCTGTGTATTTAAATTACTTCACCGGCACTTTCGGTTCTTCCCAATGTTGTATTTGCAGTTTTTCGACAGCAGGTGACAAGTTTAAGTCTTAAAATTCAATGTAAAAAAAAGTTTTGGTCGGTAAGGAACAGGTAGGAACCCTTAGAAAGCTTTTGTTATTGTTACTATATCCGCATTGGGTCTCTCGTAGCAGTGTGCCTTGTTTTTTGTTGCTTTGCAACGCCACAGTAGCTAAGTTCATGATATTTTTTTACCCATAGTGGTAGCTTTTTTCTATGAATTCCATTTACAGAATCCGCTTTGCCTGTGCTGGAAGAATTTAGGGACTGAAGATGCACCTTGGAGCATAAAGAAGGATGCAGAAACTACTCCTGCAAACGAGGACAAAGTTACTGTTTCTACGCAGACAGAACCGCTGAAGGTCCTTTTCTAATTTTATTTATTTCTGACTCTAAAGCAGTTCCTTAATAGTCAGTTAATTTAGAATGCTTATTTTCATTTCTTTCGTTTTAAGGTTTCTAGTGACACCGCGGCTCGGTTACTTTCTGAAATATTTGGTACCTTAGTTCAAATTGCGGAGCCCGAATGAGCATGAGTTTGGAAACTTGCACACTATGTTTTTCCAGCTCTAGAACGATGATGAGATATATGCTCGCTGTCATCTTATTTTTGTTATACTGCTACGTTTATGCGCAATATGTAATAAGAGCTGTTATGCTTGCTTTATTTTAATGCTTTAAAAATAGATTATAGTATTGGCGGATGCATGTACAGTATAGTACTGTTTTCGAAAGTGCAATTAAATTCAACACTTAAACTTTGTTAGAGGGTTAAGAATGTGTCTGCGTGGTTTCGGTGAGTTAATTTATACTTATGAGGAAATTGCTTTTCTTTTTGCTAAGTTGATAGTGTTTTTCTCTGTGTTAGAGCTTTGATGTGATTTATCGCTATTATGTTTTATCCTTTTATCTCTTTCGAGCCGCCGTATGTGTAAACTGTTTAGGTCTGCTCAGAAATTTGGTTTTTTGTATGGAGAGTGTCTTATCGAAACCGCTTTGATTTCATAGAGTCGGTGAACTTCAGATTACTCTGTGTTGTTCTGAATGTAGGTTTCTCTTATGGAATTAGCGGGTCACAAACAGAATTTTTGGCTCCTTCGTTGTGATTATATATTTTGAGGTCCAGTTATCCATTAACGAATGATTAGAAAGGAAATGCTGCTTAGCTTAAAGTAGCCGTGGCATCCCTGGAGTAGTTTTTTTATGGTTTGTGACTTTGTAACTGTTTCTTGATTTTATAGGTAATTTAACAAATTTTTATTTTGAGAATTTTTTGTTATCATGTTAAAGTTATTTCTTGCTTATAATGTTCTAGCTTTCATTAGTGAACATTGCTCATTTAATGATATTAGTGGTTCAGCTATGCTTTAACTGCGTAGCAGAATTGGGACTTCGTGCTTCTTTAATAATTTCTAAAAGTTCTCGTGGTATTAAATTAATGTTCTATATCAATCGTTCTTTAATTTGATTACGAAGTTTGAGCCACTGACTTCGGTGCCAATTTCTTTTCAGATCCCGATTTTCTGATATAGTGCTGTGGCTTGTAGTTTATTGCAATGAGATGCCGCATCCTTCGCCACGGGCAGATTATGGTTTAGACTTTTTTTACTTTGATGCGTAAGTCACAGAAATCAAGTTCGGGTAATTGCAGATGTGAATCTATTGAAAGTTATTTATAATTTTTAAAATAGGATTTTTTAGTGGCACGCTCGTGGTCCTGTAACCTCTTCCCTCCTTTGGAATGACTTTGCCTTTTAGTCTGAATCGTTTCTTTTTGTGCGTTATTTACTCAGTGCTCATTTTGTGGTGCATGTTACCGATTTTTGAGTTCTCCTATGTGCTTAAAGAAGTACCTGTTTTCTCATCACTTTGTGATTGTTTTTTACTTGACGTGTAGGATTTTCAGGCTTGTTGATTTATAATGTTCATTGCTTTGGAGCTTTCAGAAGTAAATAACTTCCACGAGTTTTATGCAGCTCTCGTACTTTGTTTCAAAGACTGGCGTTGTTGTTCGAGTGACGCGTGTCGAACCCCGCACGGGATTTGCTTTAGCGTCGTTGCAGTAGATGTCAGTCGTGTTCAGACGTTGAAGTGAATTATCGTACTTTAGCGTCGGAGGTGCTTCCTGACTCATGCACCCTGATCTCCTCCAGGTGTTTAAGCCAGTGGTTTCATACTTCCCCAGCTTTTAAAGCCTGCTAAGTGTTCGCGACCAAGTCGAGATCCCTAATTGTGAACATTTTGATTCTTGAATATCTACGCCGCGGGAAATATGTGAGGTGCAACGAACTTTACAGCTTGCGTGGCCTTGAACTCTTCAGCTGCATTCGCGTAACCATTGCGACAACTGATCCTCCGAGGAGACTCGTCAGTCTTGCCAAGGTGCCGTTGACGAAACATTTCGATTGTCAGTGGCGCAGATGCGTTGGCCGAGCCAGTTTCTTGCGGCTAACGCTGGTTGGCAGGTGCACTTTAGTCGTGAGAGAGGATCAATTCCCCTTACATTTGTTGGCGAATGTGGGGAAGTAAAAACGCGCAAGATCACCATACTTGGTCGACACCAAAGGTCGTGGTCGGGTTCGAACCGGCGACCTTTTGCGTGTGAAGCAGACGTGATAACTACTACACCACAGGACCTCGGGACGTTTTAGACCTGTTGAGTCGGTCGATATAGGAAAAGGTGAGAAATTTAAGAAAATGATAAATATTCAGAGCAGCTGTTGAAACCTGTTCGCAATTTCGTCAGTTGGGAACCTGTATTCTTAACGCACTAAACATTGAGCAAACTGGACCAGCCACTTACCCTGTATAGCTCAATCCTGAGTTTCGATGAATATTCAGATAGCACTCCTTACTTTTATTCTTATAGAGGCGCGGCACCGCAGGCAGGCTTCTGCGTTATTTCTTGCGTCGACTTGTCTGCCAAAACTGGAATAAACAAAGAATGATTTCAAACAAACCTGTGACAAGGCTGCTCCTAACACCGTAACGTTGACTGTTCTAGGTTTTTATTTTTAGCCGTTTTCGAACTATGGGAACTGAATGCAGTAATCTAGCGCTTAGTACAGCTTCCTGGATGCTTCTCCACTTACTTGTTTTCACTTGTAGGAGAAATACTAGAAAGGCGTAAACACCTGCACCATTGTTCCTACCGGGAAAAGTTACTATCTGCCTCGGCCATGTAATGGTTCTCCCAAACAACTGTACGGGAACGCTTACTCTTCAACGGCCAATTTTTTTTTTTTTTTTTT